GTATCAACATCATTTTGACGCGGCAGGTGCTCTGTACCGCTTATATTCGATGCGGCCACAGTCATTTGTGTTATATTGCCTGGTATGTAGTCGTTTTTAATTTGAGCCGGATTAGTTTGATTCGCCTGGCTACAGGTAATGGTCGTTGGCACCGTTGTCCCACTAACTGCATCCACCTTCTCCCAGTCATACGGATCGGACTCCTTGACGCCACGCCGTTTCATACAACGTTCAAAGATATTTGTCAGCATGGCGTAGTCGGGCCGATCGGCATACGTTAACGATTGTATGTGTTCGAGGAATTGTTTGAAATCAGAAGGCAAATGTTTTAGTAACATACGGTGGTCATATTTCTCTTTGGTCAGGCCCACCTGTTCTTTGTCCTTGATCTTGCGCCATGGCAGCTGGCCGTTGACAAACTCGACCAGCATATAGAAGAGAGACCACAGGTCGTCGTGACGACCCATTTCACGATTGCGATGGGCATTTATCGAGGCATAGCGTACCGTGCCACGGAAACCGGCAGCTGCGCGTGGGCAACGCACCTCGCCCGTACCCGTCGTGTATTGGCGCGCCAAACCAAAATCCAACATATACACTTTCCGACAATTCAGCGGCAGTCGGCCCATTGAAAAGTTGCTAGGTTTAATATCACGATGTAGAAAGCCTACAGAATGTATCGATTCGATTGCTCGCAGTATCTGCAGTCCCAGGCGCAGCGTTGTGCTCACCGAAAACGCACCCTTCGGCTGGGAGCGTCTCAGCTCGGCCAGATTTTTACCCTGCAATTGCATAACAACATAATTGAAACGATCGTTGCGACCGCAACCGATGAAACGGCAAACATGCTCCTTGCCCTGCAGCTTTTTCAGTACGGCCACTTCCATTTTGAGGACTTGTTTGGGCTGGCGTGCTGATTCGACTTTGAGGGCGACTTGTTCGCGTGTTATTAGATCTTGACCTTCGTAGATTTCGCCAAAGCCACCACCGCCAATTTTTCGTATTACCTTCCATCGTTCTTTGACTACGTGTCCGGCTTGCAAGAGATCCTCTGAAGTCATTTGAAATTTGTGTGGAACTGCTACTGCTACTTTACGCTCACTCGCTCGTTCGCTCTTGCGAGCGGGTGGCTCTTTCTCCTTTTCTCTATCTATTCTTAGGCGTCAACACACAAAGGGGGTAAATGGATAATTCAGAACATGTTTTGTGGCGATTTAATTAGTTGTGGGAGCCTGCTTCTTCTTGTTTTGTGGGATCTGCAGTGCAGTATTCGATGATTGTTTGTATAGGTTGGGGTTTTGGCTTTGCAATTATTTGCTATTGTACAGATCTAATGTCTTTTTTTGTTTCTTTGGTGGAAATCAATTGGAGATCGTCGTTGATGTTAGGCTGTGGAAAAGAACAAAGAAGAATTATTATTATTAAAAAATTGTAACATTTTAAATCATAATAGACAATATTAAATTGGTTAAAATAAAAAGAGAATTAATATAAGGGCAATATTGCCAATTTTTTAATATTCCATTTTCAAAAAATCAGCTTTTTTGTTTTTGTGGCACATCAATGATTTTTGGTACACATATAGAGAAAAATGTTCTGACTCCGAAACCGTTCGCGATCAAATTTTTGGTTGATGCGCGCAAAAGTTATCGAGGTTTTAATTTTGGACATAAGAAAAAAATCTTAAAATTACGCCGTTTATTATATTGACCAAAAACGTTGATATATATCTTCCTCCGTAAAATAAGAATATGAATATATTATAATAATCACGATAAAGTTGCACATATTCGCGAAATATGAGAAAAATAAAAAAAATAGCAGATTACATCAATATTTTCATTATATTAATGACATACACACACCTAAAAATTAATTTAAAAATATCTACATAATCTAAACACCATGGTGAATCAAATGATATCAAAATCACACAAGTCCGTGTAGCGGTTTATAAATCAAAGCGACAACAAAACAAGATATTGAGGAAAAATATTTGTTTTTGGTTCGAAAAAATAATGTCAGCACATTTATTTTTTTAATTTTTTATACAAGAAAATTCAGAAAAAAATTTTGGGGTTATTCTGCTATTTTACCCGAATTTCGCCGAAAAATTGGCATATATATTAATAATCACTCTTTGTGTGTAACTATACGCCTTGCGGATTATATCAAGACCCTTCCGATAAATCTTAGAATTCTATAAATAGGAATAAATCTTAAAATAAAATAATATTATGAAATATACATTTTAAATTGCGTGTAAATCGCGTAATTCTCAAAATCATTTGATGCGCATGCGGTTTCCAGGAAGTACTGAAGTTTATCTTCCAATCCATATATATTTTGCGAAATTTCATTTGACGGCTAAGATGTGCCGCACGTCACATTGAAGTACCCAAAAAATCGTAAAACGCGAATAATTCCCGAAAACTTCATATGTCATTAACGCGCATCCGATTTCGGTGTGCACCTTAAAAAAATACATCGATCTATACCGATTTCAATGTGGTCCATTAAGAACTATGGATGTGCCGGCTCACACTAGTTTTGAGATAAATTGGGTACATCTCTCTTTCGGCTGAAGTTTTTAAAGTTCTCTTTTCGAACAAGATCAAAATCCGTATGATGTCATTTATTGAAGCGGAAATGATCCATAGAAAACGCAAATAAATCCGCGATATTTTCAAAAACATTTTTTACCAAATTTCGTGTTTTTGGAAGGCCAGTTCCCGCCGTTCTAGTAGATGGATTTTCACGAAGAAGATTTTATATCATCCGAAACGTAAAAAACCTTATTGATCCCGGGTACCCATATCATTTAGTTGACAGATCTAAAAATTTGGCCCGAAAAATAGGTTTTTTAGAAATTTGATCGCACAAAATTCGCACCTTCGGATGAATATTACTCTGAAGCTGTGCATACTACATACACAAAATACATATCAAATTACGCAGATTCGCGACTACAATAATCTTATAATCGATTTTTATAAATTCCTGTTTGCGTATTAAAGCTAGAAGTAAAATTAAAAAAACACTCAAAATCGAGCTTCAAAATGTCAGCATCATTTAAAGGTAGATGCAGTTAAAATTTTGAAAAATGATACATAAGGGGCGTAGTCCCCATTTTGTTGACTTCTAGTTTTCTTTTGACACGAAGACCGTGCAATGAGTGGCTTAGTCACAAATCGATAGAGAACATAAAAAAACTGGTTCGCCTCAACCTGTTTTTACACATTTTTTTACATTAAAGTAGACACAGCTTCCACCAAAATAAAGTTTGGAGGTCAATATCAAGAACAGTTTGCAACGACAGATCAATAAACCCAAAACTATTCACTTTTCTTCATATACTTAAGTAGTTCCCGAGTTATAAAGGGGTGAACCTCCGCTTCAGCTATGTTAAAAAATTGGCAATATTGCCCATAACCGTCTTATATACTAGTAAAGAAATATGTAGAATGTTATTTCTAATTGTGTATCAGTCTACATCTACTACTTGAGGATCAGTCTAAGTGAAGAGATGATCTCTGTCTCATTTCGAAAAACTAAGATTCTATTTATAATTTGTTTTTGCAGTTATGTAGAATTTAAAAGATCCATAGTTGAATAGCTGTGTAAGTTGTAGATCTCGCCAACGTGTCGAGTCGCTCAATTTCGGCGAGTAAACTGATAAAATGTAAGATATTTCTCCAAATGTGGTTGGTGGTTTTTCTTTATCAACCCAATTCTGTCTCTTTCATTTCAAAGTTCCGGAAGATTCCGAGTGAATGGGGAGGCAGTGGATTTTGCTAGGGCAGTTGAAAAGACTTTTGTCCAAATGCTGCACATTTGTTAGGCATCATTCTAAATAGTGAATTATGCCTAAGTAGCATCTGTTGGCCAACACTATCCTTATCCGAATTTCAAAACTGATGTTATTAGCATTATTTATGGCAGTACCCAGGTATATAAAATCATTGACTACCTCGAAGCTGTAGTTCTCAAGTTCCACAGTTGGTCCGAGTCTACTGGACGTCATGCGCGTTGATACCATCAGTTTGGTCTTCTCGCCGTTTATGCCTAAGTAGCATCTGTTGGCCAACACTATCCTTATCCGAATTTCAAAACTGATGTTATTAGCATTATTTATGGCAGTACCCAGGTATATAAAATCATTGACTACCTCGAAGCTGTAGTTCTCAAGTTCCACAGTTGGTCCGAGTCTACTGGACGTCATGCGCGTTGATACCATCAGTTTGGTCTTCTTCTCTGGCAGACTCTTTCTCAATTTGTTCAAAGGTGACTGTTACCGTTCTCTATGTTCGATCCATTATGACGAAGTCGTCGGCGTAGGCGAGTAAAATATTCTGTTTGGTGTACATATTTCTGTACATATTTCTGTTCATATTTGAATCTCGTATGACCTTTTGCAGCAGGATGTTAAAAAGGTCGCTGTCTATATATATCACCATGTTTCCTTCTGTGCAGGCACATCCTCCTGTAGAGATGGATGTGCTTGCACCAAAGTCTTCGGTTTGGTGTTTCACTCGTTGGACTTTATGGGTGAATTCGGGGCTCATATCAGCTCACTATTTCAACGTGTGATGAAAATAGTTACCCCAGGTGACACCGCGGGGATGTCAGTTTCCACAATTGAGATGAAAGCGGGACGATAAGCCTGGGCTTCGCCATGTTAAAGCCAGTCAGAGCCGTTGCTTGGTATCTATCATCCCCTACGTCAGCCCGATGTATTGATTTATAAAATGTTGCAGGTTAGCTGCCGGCCTTCTTCATCAAAATTATGAAGTTTTTTCTGAGGTGTTAGGTGGGATTTCCGGATAATTCGAATACTTTCTTGCAGATGTACGGGTATAATGGACCATGTATAGGCTCATTGGGCTATTTTTATGACCAATTTGTATATTTTTCCACTGTGAAACCAAAATGGCACTAAAAGAGAGTGAATTGAGAGAGCAGATTTGACAGTTGTGTTACTGAGCTTTAAAAATTCTTACATGATAAGAATCAAGAATCAGTATATTCTTCTTAACGACGCACGCGGCAACTGAGTCGTGAAGCTATCGGACAGCAGTTTGAGAACCCTATTTGCAGGGATGTTGCTAATGAGAATGTTCATTAATTATATTCTGAGGCATATTTGTGGATGGCAAAAGACGTCTTAACAGATGGCTTGGAGGATTTGGATTTTTTTGTTTTTAAATTTTCGACAAAAAAAGTCGTTTTTTACTTTTGTCTAATTTTTTTTTTTACAGAAACTCAACCCACATTCCGCTTGAATTGGAACCAAATAGCCAACAACAACAACCACCATTGACACAATTACCAGAAATGTTATTGTGTACCCTGTGTAATGATATATTTAAGGATCCTCGATGTTTAAATTGTTTACACACCTTTTGTCTTGAGTGTCTGGTGGAAGAAAGTTTCAAGCAAGATGACGAGGAAGTGACGGAGGAGGAATCTAGTAATCCTTTTACATCGAATATACCAATACCACAATATCGATCATCGTCGAGCAGCAATGAAAGGAATTTCAAAGGTATTTGTCCACATGTTTTTTTGCGAAGTTCTTTGTAAGTGTTAATTTTTTTTTAATAAAATACTATCTACAAAAAAATTCATCAACAATTTTTTTAAAGAAAAATTAATGCATTTGAAAAAATAAATAAATCCAAGGAATAATTATTGAAATGAAAATTGTATCTGCTATAGTGAAATTAAACAGCATACAGAATAGAAACAAAAATATTTACAGAATTCCTTCATTTCTTATATATCGTTTTTTTAACTTCATATTTTTTTATTATTTTAAAGAGAAGTTTATTGAGTCAGTCATTATTACAAATTTCGAAAAAAAGGAAAAAGTTACATTATACGTTTTTTTATTAAAGCTATTAGTTTTTTTAATAATATCTATGTATTTATATGTGTGGCAAGGTATTTAGAATGACAATTTTTCGCAATTTCCATAACATAGCAATGCCTGCTTTCTATTTGATAATTTCTGTCAGGATAAATTACTAAACTTTTTGGGCTATATTTAGTTATGTAAAGAAACATAAATTGAGAAAAGAATTGAAGATGATAGAATGTTTTTAAGAAGGGTTATTATTAATCCCTATGTATTTCTAACCTTCATTACTCTGTGTTACAGGGTATAATGTCTTTATGCATATGTTTGTAACAGGCAAAAGGAAACGAGACATGGTTTCTTTTGAGAATATGCATCGAATCACTTTTTGATCCGAATTGCATGAAATTTAGCACAGATCTCTTATTTGGCATAAGGACGAACCCGATTGAAATTTGATAGTATATAACTCCTATATAAATTTTCGTCCGATTTTAGGTAAATGTTGCACCAAACTCCCAAGGTTTGCCCGATTGAGACACAATTTTGCACAGCGCACTGAATGAAGTCCGCTTTGATGTCTGTGAAGTTGTGTTGAAATCGGTTCAGATTTAAATATAGCTCTCATATATACTTTTGTCCGATTTGTAGGAAAATTGTCCACCAAACTCTCAATTGTTGTCCCATTGAGACAAAATTTGGCAGAACGTATGAAATTGAGACTAGAATAGGGCGTGTTAAGTTTCTTTGAAATCGGATTGGATATAGATATAGCTGTCATATATAGTTCGTCCGATTTTAGGTAAATGGTGCAAAAAAGTCCCAAGGTTTGTCCGATTGAGACAAAATATTGGGCAGTGCACTGTGTTAGATCCAAATAGACATATTGGAAGTTTTGTTGAAAGTTTCGTTCGATTTTATTGAAATGGTGCACCAAATTCCCAATATTTGTCCAATTAAGAAACATTTTGCGCAGAATACTGAATTAAGTCCGGTTTGATGTCTGTGAAGTGTTGTTGAAATCGGTTCTGATTTAGATATAGCCCCCATATATAGTTTCGTATGATTTTGTGTTAATGATGCTCCATGGGTGAGATGAAAAAACTGCAACCAACTTCAGACTGCTACCATTTCTAAGCCACTCGTCCCACAGCTGTTAAAATTATTCCTATAACAGGGATAATTATATATTATTATATTGTTTACAAGCGTACAAAAGGTGAGGATTTTTCAGAAAAAAGTTATTCGTGATGCAATTTAAGCGCCATAGTCTGATTTCTTTATATTCGGCTGGAAAACCACATGTGGCTATCGTTAGAGCACTCCAGCATTTAAATGTGAATAAATCTTTTGTGTCGCGTACCATCGCTCGTTACCGTGATACTGGTAGCGTAGCCCGACGTCAAGGAAGTGGACGGAAGAAAACAGCAACATCAGCAGAAATGGTTCGAAAAGTAAAGAAGCGACTTAATCGAAACCCACGTCATAGAGGCTGAAAAATGTTCATGAGCCATGAGCTGAACATATCACAATATTCCATTTTGAAAATATTGAAAAAATGAGCTCGGGGTAAATCCATTGATATTCTAAAAAGTGCAAGAACTTACACCGCAACAGAAAGAAAATAGACTCAAAAGAGCTAAAGAATTGCATCGCTTGACCGAAAGTGGTGAACTGCCGAATTTGGTTTTCTCCGATGAGAAAACATTCGTTGTCCAGCAGATTGGAAACAAACAGAAATTATCGTGTTTACTTGCCAAAGAGGTTAGCTGAAAATGTGCACCTTCGGTTAGCCACCAGAACTCAAGCGCCTGCCATGATGATGGTGTGGGCCGCCATAACAACCTATGGTCGCTCTCCGCTCGTAGTAATCGACCGCGGCATCAGGATAAATGCCGAATATTATGGCGAAAATATTCGGGAGGGTGTAAGAAGCCTTGGGTACGCAAACATTTTGGCCGCAGACCTTGGACATTCCAACAGGACTCAGCACCATCGCACTCAGCACGCCCCAACCAAGAATGGTTACAAAATGAGGTTCCTCGTTTTATTTCCATCGCACAATGACCACAAAAATCTCCGGATACCAATCCGTTGGACTATTGTGTCGGTCACCTCAAGTGTCGATCACCTCAAGTAAGCGCTTGGCCGGGAATGGGCCAAAATACCGCAGAGCAACATTCGGATAGCGTGAGACGGTTTTATTTGCCGTTTGAAAGCCATAATTCGTGCCAAAGGTGACCAATTCGAATAAATCTGAACTTATTTTAAAATTTGATGCTATTTCCGACGTTTATTGCTTTCATTGAATATAATTTAAAAAAAATGTAAAAATTATAAATTATTTTGCAGTTTTTTATCTCACCCTGTATGTGCACTAATAAATTTCATATAAATTGTAAATTATGAAAATTTTGCGGTTTAATTCAAAATATTCACTATAAATAGATCTCCTTATGCGAAATTTGATAATCAATTTTTTTTTACGAGAGACATACTCGGATTAATTTTGAACCGGATTCACAAATAATAAAACTAATTTTTGTGTCTGTTTAAATTAGCCCATTTAATTTGTAATGTTAATCACATGGAATCAATTGTCTGTTAAAGGGACAAGCGACCCGTATTTGAGTTCAATATGTGAAAATTTTGCTGGCAAAAAGGAGGCAGACAGAGCTAAGATACCAATCTACAGGTGTTTTACTTTCAGTTCAAACATTTTGATTGAATGCTTGCTATTTACTTTGAATTTGTTTAATATTATTATATGTATTGAGTTAAATAACAAGTGATTTGAAATAAATTATTATTATACTTAGAAAACTATATAAATATTAATAACATTTTTATAATATATAACACGATTATATCGATATATGTATGTTTGAGTTATATAAAATAGATAAGTTAATTTTATAAAAACAATTGTGTCAATTTTCCAAACTTTTGTCAAGGATTTAAATTTAATATAATTTAATTATAATTTAATATAATTTAACTATAACTTAAATTTGAGAAGAATACAATATTAATAATATGATCTATAGGATTACTTTTTTGGCATGTAATGACACTAAAAATGCGCCAATATAAAAAGGATGCTCCAAATAATTGACACAATTGTTTATCTTGAATATAAATATAATATCATGTTGTTGTATTTACTACAATTGTTTTTTTTATTTAAGAAAAGAGTATATAATGTTTCTTATATTTATTGAAGTAATATCAGATATTGGACAAAATAGTAATATAATTTTTTATTATTTGTTTATCTAAATTCTTTTTTAACTATATAAATAATTTTTCATACAGAGGAGCAGATTATTGGAAAATCTGGAATAATTTACTACTCACTTCAGATCGATATAGGTTAAATATTAGTAATGTACATTTTAATTAATTTAAAAGAGCACTACAAAAAGATCAGATCTTTTGATTGAACTACTAGTTCGTTCAACTAATTCATAGTTCACTATTTAGAACCATTGATCTATAGGTTCATTTATCAATCGGTACTCGATCATCTAGTTCGTAGTTCACTACCAAGTTCATTGATCGATCATAAAAAATAATTACTTAATTTCCAATTTAGTTAAATTTCGTTTAAAAATTTTATCAGCATAAGTGAATACATCATTTAGCTAAAAAATTGAAATAAAAATTTCTATAAAGACTGGACTATTCCATATGTTCCTTTCAGGGAAACGTTCAATTGTTGTACATTTTAGTTCATTTAAATGAGCTTAGCTTATAGTTCCGCTCTTATGATTGAACTAATTCTGCAATCTAGTTAGGTCGCAATGCATCTAGTTCATTTATCAATTATCTAGTGAAGGAGGTTATCGAAGACCACTCCAATGATTTCGGATTATGGACGGTGGGAATGCGCCTACCTTCAACGGAAATGTCAAGTTCTAGATTGACTTCTCGCAGGAAGTGAAAAGTGACACAGTAGACTGCAGTGGATAATTTTTGATTGCGCTCCCGAAATAAGTTGGTGATGGTGGTTGGAATAGTTGGAAAGTGGCATGTTGAACAAAATGGGAGATAGGACACCGCCTTGCGGTAGTCCTATTTTGATCTTGCGATATTTGGAATTTTTGGCCAAGGATCGTTCAATTGTTGTACATTTTAGTTCATTTAAATGAGCGTAGTTTATAGGTCACAACAATTTCTTCCACCAAGAGTAACCAAACTTATGTGTTTGTAGTTTTTATAAGCACTTTAAAATTGAATTTTACGATATCTTATTCCGGCATACAACGAATTTAGAAACGACAAAAATTAATTTGAATTTTTTTTTTTTCAGTTAACTATTATTTTAAATTGAAATGAAGGTTACATGAACAGATGGAACGGTATGAGCTCGTGGAAATGAACAATATCAAATGAACGAGAGGAAAATAAAAATATTGGAAGCAATAGGAAGGATAGACGTTTCTAATACCGATTGTTCCTTTTGCAGAACTGTTATTTTGAACTTATTTCATTTAGTAGTTCTCACAATAGCTCCTCTGTATTAATCTCCTCCAACTTTTTAATTTTCTTCTATTTAGCACTTAAGAAAAATTAATTTTAAATTGGCATTTTTATTAATTTAATAAATATCATTTGTTTATAGTCTAAAGTAATTGCTTTTCGTTTTGAGTTTTTTTTACTTGGCATTCGGATTTAGATGATGATTTATAATCAAGAAAAATTACATAAAATAATCTATTTAATACTGATACGTTTCATCTCACAATGTTGAGTTCCATTTTCATTTAACAAATTGTATTATTTAAATATTCATAACAGCTGAGTAGAGTGTGCGAAGCAGCGGCAGCTGTGGCCGCTTCATTACGGGTCTTAACAAAATTCGTAACCCAATGTGTGGTTAAATCCAAATATTTGCTCGGCTTGCCGGGACTATAGTCTAAAAATCCAGCCTTGGGTAAGACTTCTTCAATTTGACTGCCATCGGCCCAATTATTATAGCTGGCAATGTTAATAAAACCGACATGATTGAGTATGGCGGTACGCCAAGCAACACCATAATACTGCACACAATAAAAAATATTGAAAATAAAGAAAATTAAGAATTTTTACACATAGAATTGTTGAGGTTAGGTAACAGTCGGACCAAATGGGAATTAAGAGAATGATGACCTTATGATAATAGTTCAAAAAGTTTTACTTCGGAGAATTAAATTTGAAAATGGCTAAAATTCTGAAATTTCCAGAACATGAACAGCCTATACACACCAGGGTTCAGAAAATTTTCTTCATGTTATATCAACTTGTAGCTCAAGTTTGTCTTGGAGAATAAATTCCGACTACGGATTAAAGTGGTACACTTTAGTTCATTTAAAAGAGCGATCCATATAGTTAACATCTTTAAATTGAAATAGTTCGTTCATCTAGTTCATAGTTCAATATTAAGTTAATTGATCAATCGGTAATCTCGTTCATAATTCACTACCTAATTCGAAGATCGATAATATACGATGTAGCATTCGTTTTAAAATCTGTTCCTCTCCTTGTCATTTTTTATGAAATTGATTCTATGAACTAGTTCACGCATTTTTTTCAGGGAATCGTTCTATTGAACATCTCGGAATATTTGTCGAAGTTTTGGAATAATCTCTATATAAGGGTAAGGTCAAATTTCCCATAATTTAAAGGTGTCATCTATATTTGCCTAGAAACTACGCCTCTCTTTTATGCAGTGGTTGGGGTCATTGCTTATTTAGTTTTGCCAATTTCCTCTGTGTGGCGCTTTCTCATACCATTCCTATCTTGTGCTATCCTTATATGTTCATGCCGAGGATGTTTATTAAAATGTCAGGATGGAGTGTGGTCTAAGTCGGTTTTTTTACATATAATTCAAAACCACATTGAAAGAATGTTCCCCTCACCGCTGGGATTCAAACCTTTGTTCAAAATATTAGAGGACCAAATAGCTCTTCGCACAAAGTTTTTTACACTGAGTGAATTTTTTGGGAGTAATACTAAAACATGGACCTACTTAGACAATTTTGTATAAAACCTTATTTATTTTCTTCTTCATAATACATTGAGTTCTTGTGTTGACGCCTAAAAGTATGCATCATACATAGTTTAATAAAAAAAACAATGCCTACAACGAAATATAGATGGCGCTTATTAATGTTCGTACCCTATTAAGACCAAATTGAAAATAACATAAAATCTTCTTGGATCGTTTAATAGAAAAGTTTCTATTATTACGAATCCAATGTTCGAATTCGAATAAATCCATTCCCTCAAAACAAGGTCCAACTGTTACCATTCATATCATTATTAAATGAAGAAAAAAAATTAAAAAGAAACATTTCTCTCACCCTTCCATTACTGCGATGCCGTTGTATATCACCATGACGCGGGAATTTATTACGTTCCGCAAATCCAGGACCCACAGTTGGTACAAACAACATTTTATAGGTTAAGGCAAACGATTTGAGATAGGACCAATTCTTCCATGTGCTGGCAAATGTGGCACCATTGCTGGGCAATTTACTATAGAAACCATCTAAACATAGACGCCTCATATAATCGGCATGATTTTTTAATCTATGAGAGATGAAATATAGAGAATATATAACACAATAGTTATTTGGAATATTCTTGAGAAAGAAATTCGGAGGTTACGACAGATATAAGGGGGAAGAATCAGAACGAAGCGTAGTTGTCCCACACATCAAACCAGTTTGCCGAAGAAGCACAGAAATTATTTTAGAGTATTTGAAAATAGGATTTAGTGGGTCCAATGGATTTTTCTATATTAAATATAAATTAAGGGATTTGTTATTACTTATTTTTTGCTATAATAACCAATTGTGGTATATAGAAATTTGCGGATATTTTTTTACATTTATTTTTTGTTAAAGTAATGGAAGGTATTATTGAGATACAAATTGATTATTAAAATAAAAAAATCCTTTTTGTAAAATTTGTATATAATGGTATATAAGCTAAACATTACATGGTATTTGAAGTAGTTTTCGGAATACGAAACTCAAATCATAACAAACGAATTCATATTTTTATGTTTCGCTCAAAATTCAAGAACGACATCTATAATTCAATGTTTTTGCTGTTAATTTAAAATGTAATGAACGCCACCTATAGACCCATGTCATTTATTGTGGTTTTTGAATGCATTATTGCACATTTTTGGGAGCTAAAAATTATGTATTTATTACTGTGGATGTAGAATTGTATTTATTCGAAAAAGGTAAATATTTATACTTAAGTAGTAGCATTTTAGGGTAAAAAATATACACTATGCACATTAACGATAGAAAAGAACAATATTTATATTGACATATAGATGGCGTCTATTTTAATTAGTAGGATCGATATTATACATTAAAGAATAGAGTAGAAGAGCATATTATATTGCCAACTTTTGGGGGAATAAAATGTTTCATTTTATCAGTCGAAACAAAAAGATCGACATATGTATGCCAATGTTATTGTTTGTCGGTTTTTTTTTTGCATAGCTTAAATAAAGAGTTGAATCTTAATTTTTTCCATGCAATGTAGAATTTGGTAATCAAATTAACCCTTTCAGTGTCAAAAATTTTTTTTGTCGGGATAAAAATCTAAAATTTTGTACTTAAAATCGTATGAAGGCACAGAGTTTAGAAAAAAAACAATTCTTATTTTAACCCTCGGACAGTTTTGTCTGTCTTTCAGCAAAAACAAAGACATCAATTGTAACGGTAAATAGGATAATCAAAAATTTGCAAAGGAAGAGAGTAATTTTAAATGTCGAATATATTCGACAAAAACACTGAAAGGGTTAAAAAAAAAAAAATTAATCACGATTCCAAGTATATTATTTACATTAGCGTATGAGGATATTTTAATAGATACTAATAGTAGAAAGAACTATTAAATAAAAACGTACGAATTTCATTATACAAAATTTAATAAAAGGGCAAGTCTACAAAACAATGTGTTTCGAATCCCAGCGGAAAAGGAAAAATATTTTGAAGTAGTTCTTATATTTTTGTAAAAAGTAATTAAAAAGTCTTGGGACTGACATATAGATGGCGCTGTTACTTTCGATTGTGTTTTCTATGGCACAGAAACATTTTGTCGTTTTAATTTTTCTAATTTCGGCTTTATGTTTTTTCTTCGTTGAGTCTCTTCTCGTTTCTTTTGTTGTTACCTTACATGTGTTCTTGTCTTGTGCCATTGAACGATCGTATCAACATTTGTTTGATACATTGTATTTGGCATTTATATCGAAACAATTTGGAAAATACATATGCGAATTTTATAACACAATACAGAGGCCAGTAACAGTGTCTAATGAAACAACAGAGTGCAAAACTAACCACTATCCAGTGAGAGAAGAAATGCCAGTTGTTAGAAAGAGGGAAACTAACAACCATGACAGAGAACTTAAGGCTTGGTTTTGTAGGCAGACATATGTTAAGTTCAGGGGGCAGAAGTCGAAGACCGCAAAGTAAAAATGGGCGTCCTTGCTCTTCAACTTCCATATTTCCAAATTCTCTTCCCCTCCAGATGGTATTAAGCTCGTCACATAGTCTGATGATTGTTCCATTCTTGAAATCGAATACAAAATCAATTCCTACATATCTTCGGTTGCCACATTCTTTCAGGGTAGAAACATGCAGATTTCTCCATCTAAATCAACTGGCAACTAAATATATCGATCAGAGGCATGACTGTTCCAACGATCCAGAATCCTAAAATACTAGGAGTCGTCTTTGATAGCCTCCTGACATTACCTATACATGCCGCAGCGCTTAAAATAACATTTCGGAAGCGTAATAAGGTGCTCAAAGCCATCTCAGGCAAGGACAAGGAGGAGTTCTTGGCTACTTACAACTGTGCTGCCCCTGTTTGTACTTTGTTAATTAGTGATTCGCAATGGAGAATGCTTCAAACCACACAGAATAATGCCCTATGTACCACAACCGAATGTGTCTTGATGAAGAGTGTGGATCAGGAGGCAAGGATACTGTTAGTGCAGCAACATAATGTGTTGGTCACCAGGCAGTTCCTGCTGGCATTAGGTTCAGGATCCATCCTCTCGATACATCCGGAAGGACATCAAGCGATACAGCAACGACATCCAGGAAGTCATTCCATCTGAGATCAACCGATTTTCACTAGCTGCATCGCTGATAACTGTTCACACTCAGAAAGTCTAGAAAGTTGTCAATGAGCATGAACCAAATCGTGCCCTTAACTGTCAACCTCTATCGGTAGCTGAATCTGAGGAGATCCTTCTTAGAAGAACCAGAACAGCTATGGTCAGGATAGTTAGTCATCCAAATTGTGTATCGAGCGATAGTTGCCGGGATCGAATACATTTGTCCCAATTACAAGCAGGGCCCCCTCGCTCTGATAGACGTTTGGAAATATATTTTTCAAAAAAATTTGCGCTCTGATAGATCTTTGAATAAATATTCTTTAAAAAATATACGCTATAATAGACCTTTGAAAAATATTCTTTAAAAAATCTACGCTCTGAAAGATCTTTGATAGACCATATATTAATTATAAAATCTATGCTCTGATAGACCTCCGATAGGTAAAAAAACTACGTTCTGAGAGTATATTAATTATAAAATCTATGCTCTGATAGACCTCCGATAGTTAAAAAACTACGTTCTGAGAGTCCTTTAACAAATATTCATTAAAAATCTACACTCTGATAGTCATATGGGAAACAAGGGTTCAAGCTCTTCCAAGCTTTAAAAGACTTTGATAGCCCTCAATATTTTAATATATCAATCAAAAGTAGTCAGATCATTATTTTAAGTTGGATGTTAACCGTTTAATTTTTTAATTAATTTTTAATTAATATATTTTTCAAATCACAAATATTTTATGGGCTCATGCATAAAAAAAATCATTATTTTTCATATATTCCATTCCATCGAAACTGGTTTGATGAGGGACAGCCACTGAAACTCCATCCCGTCCTTCCGCCTGCCCATCACATTTAAGTTATCTCTCTTACCTTATGTGACCTATAAAGTATGCATCTAATGTATACCTCAACGAATCGGGAGTTTTACAAAATGCCTGAGCGGTAGTGGCATCCATTAACTTATAAGCATTACTAATATAAATTATTGGCATTAAATGACGGCGTGATTGTGAATAGATTTTTAAAAAACCCGGATATTTATAGAATTTCCGAACATCCTGTAATTGTTGTTGGATATACGAATATGATTGATTTCCCGCAACGGTAATTTCAAATGTTATCGATAGATTATATTTTGGCGCAATTTCCAAGATGTCACGATACAACGACTGCCATTCGGCTGAAGAGGTGGAAGATTGGGTGGAGGAGGACGACGATGGTGATTTGCCAGCATTATTTAAGGATAAAATTAAGACACCAACACCACAGTTGCGTATATTTTCAAAATGTTTTTCATAAATGTCTTTTGTGGATTTGTATAAACCCAGTGCTGGATAGAAAGCACTGTTGAGTATTTTGGCAGGAGGCCTTAGGGTGGAGGAATTACCACCGTCCGTTAGTAATATATCTTTGGAAGTTTTACGTGTTTTATACCATGGCACGGGGGCGGAGTAAAAAATGTGTATGGCATTGCTAACACTCTCCGCAATCGTGTGCTCTTCCTCGGGATCAAGATTATTTTGTTTTTGCTGCTGTTTTAAATTATCAATTTTCTCCTGTATCAGACGGGATTTCAATTTATGTTCATCATATTTCTCGGGCTGTATAATGCCATTTTGGCGTGGCGATTTGAGAACGACAAGATTTCCCCCATCATCAGCATCACTTTTCTTGCGGAATACGGATGCTGCCTCTTTTTGTTGTTGGCGCAGCAACTGCTGCGTGGCTTCGTCCGCATAGGCCTGGGCCACGAAATGTTCATCGATTATTTTTTCCGCACTGATGGAATGCTGGTGCTGCTGCTGTAGGCCATTGTTGAGTATCAGCAATGTTATGACAATTAACGTGACAATCATTAACAATAAAATTATGCGGAATTTTCGGGGATTTTTACAATATTTTGTAAAAATCATGTTGACAGATTTGTTTGTTGTTTGGTATGTATCTGTGTGTTGCTTGTGTATTAGTTATACCAAAAAAATAAAATTGTATGCAAAAAAGTAGTCTTTTTTTCTAAATTCACAACATACTTGTAGAGATTTTTCTTTTTGCTCCGTTTTTGCACTCTTTCTGCTTTTGGCTGAGAAGGATGATGATTTTCTTTTTATTTCTTTTGATTTTCACAGATTTCCACAAATTTTCTATAAATTATATATTTTTTAGGCACTTTTTTCTCTTAAATTTGTAATATATATTTTTCTAGATTGATTTTTTCGGTATTATTTTTAATTTAAAAAATCCTTCGATTCACTTCACAAACTAAAGGACTTTTCTTTTTTACTGCAGCAGCTTCAAATGATTTTCATCATTTTCCATTCTTTCATTCTTTTTTTTTCACATCCACCCTTCAATTAAATTTTTTTCTTCTTCGTTTTTCTTTCATTCATTCACAAAAAATGGAAAAACTTTTTATGTATAGGTATGTATCCTTCTTGTATCCTCGTCGTTAGGTAGGCGAGTGCGAGTATGTATGTGTGTGCGTATTTCAAAACTTTTGCAAGAATCTGTGTGTACGTGTGTGCTGCTGAATGCGTTGTCCTTTAGAACATGTGTTCACTGTCTTCTGTTTTGATATGTACTGTTATTTTCCGTTTTCGACATTTCCTTGTAAAGCTATTTTCTGCCTTTAGTCCTGCTGTTTGTCCCTCCCTCTTTCTCTCCTCCCCTCCCCTCTGCCATGTAAATAAAATTTCATAAATTTCCAGACCATAGAAATGTGTGCTAGGCACAACACAGCTGTCTAAGTTCGTAGGCGCATGTCAAACATTTTCGAGTTTTCCTTTTTTCTCTTTTTTCCTTTTAAAGAGAAGTGTATTTTTTCTCTCTTTTTGTATCCTGCAGGAAAATTATTTAGGTAGGGTAGGGAAGTTTTAGGGAATTAAAGTTTATAGTAGAAAATTTGGAAAATTCAAGGCTTCAACAGGGTCTCCGAAAAAGGCGACCTACCGAGCGTCTATAGGATAACTCTTTAAATTCCCGGGTCTGTGAATTTTTCTCCGAGTTTTCGGAGAAAAATTCAAGGGTCTTCTAACTATTATAAGGGCTTTAAAATATCATATATTTATTGAAGTTTGGAAAATATATCCCTGTTATTTAGAATCTGTAAAATGTGTTCTCCTGTGTTCATAGAGGTAGAGGTGGAAAATAACGTTTAAACATCTCTGAGAATACAAAAAGGTTTACCGTCAAATAATTCATCTTTTGATGATATTCCTTGTTAACAAATTCTTAAACATCCTTTCATGGCCCTTCTTTAGTAACGCTTTGAAATTTCTCGGAAAATATTTCACAATCCCTTTTTTAATGTTTTAAGTCCCAAAGTAGACAAATCGGAAGCATCACAGCCTCAATGGGGTCTTCCAACTATACGCAACTACTCCTTTTTCACATGCTATTCAAAACATATCAAATGTAATTCGAGAATCCCATTTGTAATTCACAAAATATAATTTGCAATTCCAGAATTCCAATTGCAGTTTCTAACATATTATTTGTAATTCGAGAATTTCATATGTAATTCATAGAATACCTTTCGAAATTCATAGAATTCCATTTGAAATTCATATACTTTAATTTGAAATTCACATTAAATTTTAAATTCGAAAAATATTAGTTGGTAACATACAAAGAATATGCATGTATTTAAAATGATTTTTTGCGAATTACAATTGAAATATTACGAATTACAAATGAAATGTTATGAATTTCAAATTGAATTCTTTAAATTTCAAATGGATTTTTTGAATTTCATATGAAAAGTTTAAAATTACAAATGACATGTTTTAAATTACCAATTACATTCTCCAATTACAAATGAAATGTTATGAATTGTAAATTGAGTTTTCGCATTACAAATGAAATTCTTGATTTGCAAATGAAAAGCTGCAGCTATAAACATCTTGAAAATATATCGATTTTATAAATGACCTAGTACACAAATGTTCTGATAGTTCTTTAAAAATCCACCTCATTGTGGTACTTCTTTAAAATTTACTGTACTGGAAAAATTAAAAAGTTCTTCTAAAAAATTGAATATTACTCTCCAATATCATCCAAAGATTGAAGAAGGTTTGAAGCTCTCTAAACTAAATAATTTTTTTGGGGTTTCCATAGCTAGAATATATATTTTATATAGCTAAAATATATTTAAGACGCCCTTTCTGGTCTTTTATAACCGGAAGATAGTTTCCCGATTTCTATAGTTTGAAGATATTTGTTGCCTAAGCCTTGAAATATTTTTTTATTAAATTTATAACATTCCAGTTGGTCTATAGACCCCACCTTCGGATTTAATGTGGATTTGGTAAAAATCTTTCGATATACAATTAATGGATCAAATCAGATACTGTATTTGTTTCATATGAAATTTAGAAGCTTTGGAACATTTGAACCTTTCTGTGGGAGGTACCGGAAGAAAACACAAAATAGAAATGGCAGGAGATTGCACCACTGAGAAGAAAAAGAGCAACACTAACTAAGCAAGAACCTCAACCACGGAACAAAATTGTGAGAGGCGTTGTTTCTAGGCACCGATAGATGGCATCACCATAAACTGAGACAGGCTACAGCAGGCCAATCATCTACTAATTCTTATGCTCGAGCAAGATAGCTATGCAAAAGGTTTAACAGAAGAATAAATAGGGTATTCGATAAATATTTCAACTACGCATTCACAAAAAATCAAAAAAAAAATCTAAGCTTACATTTAAAAACTCTAAGAAATATTTTTTAAAAAAATTCAGTAAATAGCACCAATCAGAGGAAAATGACAACGCCAAATAAGCGAGGACCTCAACCATTGCACAAACATTAATGGAGGCGTTGTTTCTAGGCAACGATAGATGACAGCCCCATAACCTTGAACAAGCCAATAATTTACTAATCCTTGTGATCGGGTTAGATAGCTATGCAAAAGGAGTAACAGAAGAATAAATAGAGTCTTCGACAAAAATTCAAGAAAATCTAAGCTTCTCTACAAAAATTACAAAAACTTACATTAAAAAAAATCCAAAACTATTTAAAAAAAAAATCAGTAGTTATCACCACTCGGAGGAAAATCGCAACACTAAATAAGCAACCACGGAACAAAAATTCAGAAGGCGTTGTTTATTGGCGCCGATCAAGTAATCCGTGTGATCGAGTATGATAGCTATGTAAAATTGGTAACAGAAGAATAAATGGACATTCGACAAATATTTCAACTAATGTTTCAAAAATTCAAAATCTATGCATTTACAAAAAAAAAAAAAAAATTAAAAACTTATATTTAGAAAATCCATGAAATATGCTCAATAAAAAATTTGTAAATAGCACCACTTAGGGGAAAATGGCAACACTAAATAAGCAAGGATCTCAACCACGACACTGAAATTCTGAAAGGTGTTGTTTCTAGGCACCGATAGATGACTGCACCATCACAAGGGACTTCTAGTCCTTGTGATCGAGAAGGATAACTATGCAATAGGAGTAACGGAAGAATAAATAATTTAAAATATATTTCCTTTGATAGTTCATAATTTTTTTGCAAATACGAGATATAATATTTATTGGAAAAATATTCTTCAAAATATGCATACTCTGAAGGTCATTGAAGAAAATATTCATAACAACGCCAAGCTCTGATAGTCTCTGGAAAAATATTTTTTAAAAATCTCACTCCTCTATAATCTTAGAAAAAAATATTCTTTAAAAAAATCCACATTTTATAGCCCTTGTAAAAATATTCGTTAAAAAAAAAAAATACAAAAAAATATTCAGTAAAAATGAACACGTCATGAAATTTAAATTTAATTATAATTTAAAAAATATTCGCTTTGATAGCTATTTTTTATTTATTTATGTTAAATGCGAGCTTAGAATTTATTGGAAATAAATTCTTTAAAAATTTACGCTCTAAAGGTCCTTGGAAAAATATTCTTAACAACTCCAAGGTCTGATAGTCTTAAGAAAAATTATTCTTAAAAAAAATACAGCTTCTTTAATCCTTGGAAAAAAATTTTTAATAAATACATGCTACTATAGTCGGAAAATTCATCTGTTAATTATTAACATTTCAATTTTTTTAAGTCAGTGATGCTCTGTTGGTCCTTAAAAATTATTTTTTGAAAAATTCAGCTTCTTTCAATCCTTAACAATTATTCTTAAAATCTTCGAAAAAAGATTTTTTTAATCTACTTAAACGGCCTTTGAAATTTATTCTACAAAAATGTCCTTTTTAATTCCTTTTTCAGGCACCAATTCCCCCTCATTATTACGAAAGTATTCAATGTCCTCCTCAGCCGAAATGAAAGCGGAAAATCAAAATTCAGAAATATCGGGATCCTCAACAATATCTCTACAAAAGCGGGCATCATTTAGTTTCAAACTACGTAGATCTTCTGAACAATCACCAGCAAGGGTAAGAACAAAATAATATATATTTTTAAAACATAACCTCAAATTGTAATTATTATTTTCAGATCAAAGTCGACAGCAATCGTATATCTCCAGATTTGACGGCAATGGTGGTAAATCAATTTCAATCACTTGGAAATATAAAATGTTCACTAATCAAATGTAAGCTATGTGGATTTGTAACCGAAATTCCCGTGGGCGGTTTACGTCAATTGCCGCGTAATCTGTTGGTGGTGCGTAAAATTGAAGATCATCGAAATAAAATTTCCGGTGAAAATTATGCGTTATGTAGTCTGTGCTATGAGGAGACGAGGGTAAGTATGAAATATAATGTCGAATTTTATCTAAGTCGGAGCCAGTGTAGAGACAGTAGGACTAAGAAGGCTAACTATTATTAATTTAATATCCCGAATTCGAAGTTTTTTTCGGAATAATGATGATTCGATTTATTGAAGTTCGGCAACAAATGTATCCACGCTTATTGGTTATCTTAAATCGGCGGAAAATTCAAAGCTTCTCAAGAATCCATTGAAGTCCGGTCTCCATTTTTTATTAAAATACTAACTTCTAGTACGATCTTCTCCCCTCTCTTTCAGGCCAATCATTTTTGTGAATTGTGTAATTTGAATTTATGCCTCCTCTGTAAGGAGTCGCATGAGCGACAAAAGACCACCGCTAACCATAGCCTTCGAACAATTACGATTGACACGAAATCCCCTACCATCTCTCCAAAGGATAATCCACTATTTAATAGATTATCACAAAATTGTACGCTTCATCCGGGGTTCGAATTAAAATCATTTTGTCACAATTGTCTGCAGGTGGCTTGCAGCGATTGTCTAGTTCTACAACATAAATGTCATCGTATCGATGGTATTGAGAAAGCGGCAAAATTGTATTCCAGTATTTTACGTGATTCTGCTGAACAGATACGATTGATATGTAAAAGTTCGGAACATTCTTTGGAGAAATTGAATGCTTCAATGCTAAGCATTAATCGGAAATGTGATGAATTGCAGACGGAAATTGAAGATTTTATGCGTCGCTATCGGGAAGCTGTTGAAGTGCATCGCAGCAATTTAATGCAACAAATTCGTACGACGAGGGAAACGAAGCTCGGATTGATTGGAGAACAACAAATGGAATTAGGTAAGAATAACACGAAAATATTTTCTTTTGTTGCTATCGATAATTATTTCGAATAAAACACCCGGGAGAGTTTCTATCTGTGGACTATCGATTGATTCATAATTTCGACTAGGAAATAAGGCAGAACCTCAGAAGTCCTTCTATCCATAGAGGACCCTCTGGACTATTTCTATCGCTTGAAAAGTCTGTTGAATTTTCCTACTGAAATTTTCAATATTTTTCAAGGATTTCTATAGAATTGCCAGACACTTTGTCCAATATTTGGTGGTAGGTTTTTTTGTTCTGTCCCACTCCCTGACTGAATATGCCACATAATTACTTGCTTTTTGCATGGGGCGATCTGTTTTACAAACTGTCGATTTATGGTGGTTGATGCAATGTTGTGCTTTGGTGGCGAAGTAGGGTTGATGGTAATTAAAATGACGTCATAAATACACAACAAAATGAACATTAAAAATGTCAACAAGAGCATAACGTCATTGATGTCATAGATTGGGCGTGTACTGGCGCCCAACGTATTAGTTTAAATAACTTATACGTAAAACATAAGGAATGTCGAGATTCAAAAACTTTCGTCTTTGGTTCAGATCACTTTACAATCTACGCCTTTAGCTCAGATAGTCTTCGAAATATACCATGTAAAATTCATGCCTATGCTAAAGGGCAAATCTATGTCCCTTTAATATTCTAATTGCCACTGAAATGCAGACTTAAAAATATTTCAAAACATTTTTTTTAAATTCGCTAAAATATTCTCTCATCTGAAAGTATGCTACAAAATTATCCAAATTTAAAATAATGAATTCAATAACTTCTATGCCTTAAAGTATGATCAGTAATAAAAAAATCATTAATTAAAAAAACTATACGGCTAAAAGTAAGCTTCATAACCATTCATTTAAAATACATGCCTAAAAGTATACTTTAAAATCATCAATTTAAAGAACTCTACTCATCAAGAAGTATATTTCAATACCATTTATTTAAAAACTCAGCACCTATAAGTATCCTTCAAAATCATTCATGTAAAATCTAGCGCCTAAAGTTATGGTTCAAAATCGTGAATTTAAAAACTTTGCTCCTAAAAGTATGCTTCGAAATGTGCATGTCTGAAAATATGCTTTAAAATTCATTTGAAAAATTCACGTCTAAAAGTATGCTTCAAAATAATTCATTTAAAGACTTCACACCTAAAAGTATGCTTTAAAATAATTAATTCAAAAAACTTCACACCTAAATGTATGCTTTAAAATCATTTATTTAAAAACTCAGCACCTATAAGTATCATTCAAAATCATCCATGTAAAATCCGGCGCGTAAAGTTGTGGTTCAATATCGTGAATTTAAAAACTTTACACCTTAAAATATGCTTCAAAGATGTCACACATGAAAGTAGGCTTTAAAATAATTAATTAAAAAAATTCATACCTAAAATATGCTTCAAATAGATACATTTAAAAATGCCACGACTCAACTATGCTTCAAAATAATCCACTTAAAAAATACTTAAAAGTATATTTCAAAATATTCATCCATTTAAAAACTCCACACCAAAAATTATATTTCAAAAAAAAATCATTTAAAACTTCACACCTAAAAGTAGGTTCCATAATAATTAATTAAATAAAACTCCTAGCATAAAAAAATGCTACAAACTCATTCATATAAGAACTCCATACCTAAAAGTATGCTATGCTAAATTATCCACTTAAAAATCCATATCTAAAAGTATGTACAAAATAATTCTTTTATACCTACACGTTTAAAATCATGCGACAAACTCATTCATTTAAAACTCCACGCCAAAAATTATGCTTCAAAATCATCCATTTAAAAATTCATGTCTAAAAGTATGCTTAAAAATCATGCACTTAAAAATCCACGCACAAAATTTATTTATTCGATTCCTTTGCAATTTAAGCCAATTTACAATTCATGAGGCCAATTCAAAGTTAATTACAAAGATTCCACCTTATTTCATAGCTACTCAGTAAAATTATGCTTCAAAATTATCCATTAAAAATCCATGTCTAAAAGTATGCTTAAAAATCATGCAGTTAAGAATCCACGACCAAAATGCTTCAAAATCATACATTTAAAAACTCCATGCCTAAAAGTATGCTTAAAAATCATATACTATAAAATCCACGCCAAAAAATATTCTTTAAATAACCCACGCCTAAACATATCGCTCAAAAGTCGAAGCCTAGAAATATTCTTAGGAAGTGCAAGCCTTAAAATATTCCTTAGGAAGTGCAAGCCTTAAAATATTCTTTAGGAAGTACAAGCCTTATAATATTAATTACAAACTGCAAGCCTAACAACATTCTCTAAATAATACACGCCTAAAAATATTCTTTAGGAAGTTCAAGACTACAAATATTATTTAGGAAGTGCAAGCCTTAAAATATTCCTTAGGAAGTGCAAGCCTTAAAATATTCTTTAGGAAGTACAAGCCTTATAATATTAATTACAAACTGCAAGCCTAACAACATTCTCTAAATAATACACGCCTAAAAATATTCTTTAGGAAGTTCAAGACTACAAATATTATTTAGGAAGTGCAAGCCTAAAAATATTCATTAGGAAGTGCAAGCCTTAAAATATTCTTATGAACAGTCCACGCCTAAAAATATTCTGTAAATAATCCACGCCTAAAAATATTATTTTAATAATCCACGCCTAAAAATATTAGTTTAATAATCCAGGCCTAAAAATTTTATTTTAATAATCCACGCCTAAATATATCCTTCAAAACGACTTAAAAATCCACGCCTGAAAGTAATATTCAAAAATAAATTTCAAATCGAAAATATTCTTCAAAAAATCCGCGACTAAAAGCATGCTTGAAAACATTACGTCTAAAATTCAACCATAAATGTATGCTTCAAAACATTTCGTCTAAAAATCCTCGCCTAAAAGTATACCTCAAACAAATTTCTTTAAAATCCATGCTTAAAGTATTCCTGAAAAAGATATATTTATAAAATTCTACAAAAAGCCACGTCTTTAAGTACCCTTTAAAAAATCTATACAAAATCCACGCCAAAGAAGTATTCTTCAACCAAAAATGCCACGCCTAAAAATACCATTTGAACACCTAAACTTATTCCTTGTGAGCTTTGCTCTTGCAGTACTTTGAAAAAATATTCTTTAAAAAATTACCGTTTCTTTGAAAATATTATTTAATGTTGACAAATTTTTCTCTTTTTTACAGAAAAACGTACCCAAGAGGGTCAAATGGCCGTTGGGTTTAGTCAAGAATTGGCAGAAGTTGCAACTGATGTTGAAATTTTATCTTTTATAAAAATCCTATTGAAACGTTTTGAATATTGTCAACAATTTAAGGCATCAATTGATCCAAAGGTAAGTCTATACCTATTTCCACCTTTTCATACAATTTCCTCTTCTACAAATAAATTCTTTTAGATAATCAACATACCAAATTTTATGCCAAAAATACAAGCACCAATTGCCAAAGATACCAATGATATACCTGTGTTTGGAGTTTTATCTATGCAAACTGTGGAACCGTCAGCATGTACCCTACAATGGGATGGTAAATATAAATTAATTAAAAACAATTTGCTTAAAGTTTAATGGGACTTCTTTTAGGATTTTCTCAATTGCGTATTAATAAAAAAGTGGAATTAACATTGATATCTCGCGATGCGGAGGGTCAGCCGATGAGCCATGGTGGTCTTAAGATTCAAACTCATGTAAAATACAAGGATCTTAATTCCAAGTGCCTGAGGATGGAGGTGGGTCTTTACAATTTTTCAAAAAACTTTATAAAATTGTGTGTGTGTTCTTAGGTCACCGATAATTGTGATGGCACCTATGGCATTGCCTTTACCCCAGATGCGGAAGGCACGATCATTCTCATGATTACCATAAATGAAAAGCATATTAAGGTAGGGTAAAAACGTATTATTTCAATTGAAAAATTGTATATTCTGATTTAGATTACTTTTCAGGGTAGTCCTTTTAGTTTCTTGGCTCGTCCGGTGAGGCCGCATACCGGTATCTATCATTGCTGTACATTTTGTTCGAGCAAAGGAAATAAATTTGCAACTTGCTCTTGTCAGGGCAGTATGCCGGGATATAATGGTTGTGGTCATGGCCATACAGGGCATCCCGGACGTCGTCATTGGTCATGTTGTGGAGAGGTTTCGAGAAATTCCGAATGTCATTTTGCCAATAGGTCGTTGAATCCAAAGTAAAGGAAAGGGAATGACGGCAAACGATAAATGTCATCATTTGAAAATTAGATCTTTACTTATGTGTTAAAATTTTAATTGAAAAATTGTATTAAATTATGTGTTATGAAATATAAACATTTACCCCATCTTGATGTTTTGTATGTCTTTGTATGGAAAAAGATATGATCCTATGTGAGAAAAACACAAGATAGAAATGGCAAGAGATAGCGCCATCCAGAGTAACATGGCACCACTAAATTAGCAACTACCCCCACCCTAGATAAAATTCTAGGAGGCGTTGTTTCTAGGTAACGATAGATGGCAGTCCAATCACCTTGGACAACAGACTTTACATCTACTTTAGTGGAAATAAAACAATTAAATGATTAATGGAAATATCATAACGACTAATCGAAACCTGAAAGTCATAAGCTACCAAAATGTGTAGCATGGGAAAATTAAATCAAAGCGATAAAGGTAGACATTTAACATTACATTTAAATAACCAACATTGCCATCAACATCATGAGGAGAACACAAGATAGTAATGACAGGAGATATCACCACTCAGAGAAAAATGGCAATACTCAACCACTGCATAATATTTAAGAAGGCGTTGTTTCTAAGGAACGATAGATGGCAGCGCCATCTCAGAAGATCTAACATCTTCTTCGCAGAAATAAAAACAATGAAATTATTAACGAAACTAACATAAGCGGTGCATTGTGGAAGCCAAATGCTCCCAAGAGGAGTAGCACCATGGTATAGCACCACCTGGAGGAAAATGGCAACACTAAATAAGCAAGAACCGCAACAACTGCATAAAATTTAAGGAGTTGTTGTTTCTAGACAACAATAGATGGCAAAACCATCGCATTGGACAGACGACCTAATATTTACTTAGCATTGGGGAAGCACAAGAGGGGTAACAAGAGAAAATGTATCTAAGCAACAAATTAATCAGATATTCCACGATGTGTAACTGGAGAAAATATTGGAAAAATCGTATTCACCGAACTTGGTGTTAGCAGACTTTTTCCTCTTCCCAAAACTGACAGCAACGAAAGGAATGCTTTTTGCTACGATGGAGGAGATAAAAAATTATGTGATTTTTGATCCAAGATCATCTGTGAGAGGTACAAAGAGAAGTTGGCCTATATACCACATCTCTATCCTAATGGTAATCGTAGCACTTGGGTACCAAACACCACCATCAAGAAATCCATGGTACGATCAGGAGTGTCGTAATGCTACTGAGGCGAAAAACGCAACGTATAGGGCAACACTGCAGACAGTAACAACACGTAATGCGATGGAGAATTATCGGGTGAAAAGGAGAGAGGTATACGTTTCTCCTCTCTCCTTTTCAGAAAAAGAAGAAAGAACAAGAAAAACGTGAGCGTGAGCAAATCAATATGTAGAGGAGTCAGAATGAAGTCCGAAAATTTCACCACCGAGTAAAACACCAAACCGAAGGCTTTGGTGCAGGCACATCCTCCTCCTTGAGATGAAGATGGAAACCTGGTGACAGATACAGATAGCGTAGTGGTGGTGAAGATGATACCCCAGAACCAATAAGAGATGGCGGTATAGAGTGTTTACCACATAGCCAAGATGAGGACAGCAATCAATCGGCTGAAGAATAATAAAACAGCATAATAAAACAACAGTTTACAAGCCGAACAATTCAAGACTGGTGATCAGATGCTGGTAAGGAGCATGCACCAGCTGATTAGTACAATTTGGCTAGAGGAAAGCATTCCCAATGATTGGACCCTCTGCATATTGTGGTCCGTGCACAAAAAAGAAGACAAGACGACATGAGGAATAAGTCTCCAACCCATCTCAAAAACACATTGACACATACCACATATTCGTCGACTATAAAGCCGCATTCGACAGCCCTTTCCGTTCAGAAGTGTTTAAAGCCATGTCTGCGTTTGGTACTCCTGCAAATTAGTTATGCAGGATAACTTTAACTGGTACAATGTCAGCAGTTAAAGTAGGAAAACACCTCTCGGAGCCCTTCAATACCGAGCGAGGATTCAGACAAGGTGACAGTTTGTCGTGTGACCTTTTTAACATCCGGCTGGAAAAGGTCATACGAGATGCAAATGTGAACAGAAATAACACTCTGTACACCAAACAGCATATGTTACTCGCCTACGCCGATGACATCGACATAATGGGTCGAACATCGCGAGCGATAACAGCCACCTTTGAACGGATTTGGAAGGACTCTGCCAAAGTGTGACTGGCAGTAAATGGCGAAAAGACCAAGCTGATGGTATCAACGCGCAAGACGTCCAGTAGACTCGGACCAACTGCGGAACTTGTAAACTACAGCTTCGAGGTAGTGAACGATTTTATATACATCGGTACCGCCATAAATAAAATTAATAACACCAGCTTTGAAATCCGGAGGAGAATAGTGTTGGCCAGCAGATGCTACTATGGTCTCAGTAACCAACTCAAAAGCAAGGCCACCTCTCGCCAAACCAAACTCACACTCTCTAAGACGCGGATATTACCCGTGCTGTTGTATGGTACTTACGAACGCAGATGAGGCAGCTCTTGGAGTGTTTGAGAGAAAAATTCTATCTGATCTCGGACATTGACAGACGCATCGAGCTGCAGCGGCTAAGCTGGCTAGGTCATGTTGTGAGAATGGTTGAGGGTGCCTCAGCTCAAAAGGGTAAATAAATAAAAGCAAGCCAACTGATAGTTCACGCAGAAGGGGAATGCCACGAATTCGATGGAAATATCGAGTGGAAGACAACATTTCGGAAAATGGTCCTTCAAATTGGAAGAGCTGCGCACAAGACCGACGTGCCAGGAAATATTTTTTAAGCTCGGCTTATGGAACAAATGTTCTGTCACAAGCCAGCTAAGTAAGTATGTTTTGTCACTGTCATCACTAGAGTCAGACAATCACTTTCCTGATACTGTTTGATCTTTTTCGATTCGTTCTGGAACAGGAACTGTTAACAATTTTGTTCCTTTAGTTTAATTATTCATTGGTACTCGTCAGTTGATTCGGTCAATGAAAGGAACGACCTAAATAAACGATTGGATCAAAAGGAACTACATGATCGAAAGAAGCGGACCTTGTATTGATACTTTATATTTCGGATTAATTCCTTTGAACTAGTCCATTCCGTAAAGACACACCTCTAGTCACCACATAAGACCCCATAATTGTAATCTTCATCTCATGATGTAGGTAAAAAAAGTTTGGCTCAAACAAAATTAATAGGCGTGGTTTGTCCTCTGAGATCCGCTGACAGCATTAAGCACATTGCTACATTTTAAGTAACATTACTTTATCGAATATTTGGCGAATTAATGGCTCTAATATTTCTATAACTGCTACTTACTGACTACTCTGTTCCCGAAAGAGACCCATTTAAAGACGAAACTCGTTGTCTTTTTCAATTACAAACTGCTAAAAACGCAACATTGTCATTACTCAAAAGAGTTAAATTAAGAGAAAATAGTGAAAAGAGAGAATGCAACGAAAAATAGTCTCTCTCATTCATTCTCTCTCCGAAGGATACCTCTTTTCAAGGAAGTAGCGTAGGTAGCAGAAAAAACACAAAAGGAAATTAAAAAATGTACTTCAATTGTCAGTTAGATAACCATCAAAAGAGAATGAATAAATGACGGAACAGTAATAAAACGGAAATAACAAAGAAAAAATCCGTTCGCAGTTGAGACAGAAAAAGTAAATCTTCATAAAATTGATTAAAAATGCATTAATGATAAATGGTATGAAATATGTGATATACAAAATATTTATGGCTGGTATGACAGATAAACAGAACAATCTATACTAAAGCCTTTATCAAGGTGGTGTTATCTCCAAAAATATATATTAAATTTAATTAAATAAAAATAAAGCAAATTTGCATGACATGAAAAATGCAACAAATCCAACCTAAATAAATTTAATACCAATTTGTCGTTTCGTTCGCACATCTGTCACTCAGACAGCTAGGAAGTACATCTGTCTGTTTGTCAGAAGAAAAAGCAAACAAACAAACAGAGTATCAGAAATGTGCTATATGAACATATTGAGTGTGCTGTCATAGTGAATGTTTCGCTGTCAATATGCTGGAAAACTTTAAAGCTTATCGCATTTAATTCTTCTTGAGCTTAAGCAAAAAGTCTACATTCGTCGTCATTATCGAATGTGTAAATAATGGTTACGCAAGGACTGGGGACCGGTTATTTCTCCACACACAGAAAAGTTATTCTTTTTTGGCAGGTGAACAAACATTGACTACCTGCCTACCTGACTGACTAACTGACCATCAGCGCCACCATTAGCCATTTGGCAAGAGAACATTTTCGTATTTGTTAGTAGTAATATAATTGTAGAAGACTGGTAAGGGTGCACAATATTTATAGTTCGTTGTTCGTAAAAGGTTATTCTCTTTGACGATTATGTGAAAGTAGTGTGTGAACAAAGAGGTGTGTGTTTCAAAATCGAAAGACAAATCAACAAGTAAATCCGTATTTCGTTCCTATCGATTCTTGAATTTAACAAATTAAAGGGAGATGTTCTACAAATCATGTCGACATTTTGATATATGTACAGGGTGAGATAAAAAAACTGCAACAAAGTCCAACGCCATAATTTTTACAATTTTTTTTTTTTAATTTTATTGAATGAAAGCAAAAAATGTCGAAAATAGCATCAAATATTAAAATAAGTTTAGAATTTTTCGAACTGGTCACCTTCGGCACGAATTATGGCCTTCAAACGGTCAATGAATCCGCCACACGCTGCCCGAATGTTGCCCATTCCCGGGGAAGCGCATGCTTAAGGTGATCGACACTTTGGTACTTTTTTAGTGCCAACATTGCTTTCCAAAATACTCCAGGCACAATAGTCCAAAGGATTGGTATCCGCAGAATTTTGTGGCCATTGTGTGCTGGAAATTAAGCAAGGAACCTCATTTTGTAACCATTCTTAGTTGGGGGCGTGCTGAGTGCCCTCCAGAATATTTTCGCG